ATCATTGTTGCACTATATGCTAATTTGGATGTAAATTTAAAGCATAAAAAATAAAATTAAAAAAAAAATAAACCATCCTAAAAAAAAGACTGTATGTATATTTTTAGGTATGACAATGTTATTGTGATTATTTTCAAAAGAGCCCTTCTCTTTTAAGGATGTACACTAAAACATTTATGAATGAAATATATCTGGAATTTGTCTCGAAATTATAAGAAGGGTTTGAGGAATGAGTAGTGGTATGAAGCACACTGTCGTAGCAAATAATTGTTGAAGCTGGGTATGAGGTTCATTACACTAGTCCCTTTAATTTTTGTATTTGAAAATTTTTATAATAAAACATTTTAAAAGAAAATTGTATTTAGGGGAGCCTGGGTGGCTCAGTCGGTTAAGAGTTCCACTCTTGTTTTCGGCTCAGGTCATGACCCCAGGGTCCTAGGATCGAGCCCTACATCGGGCTCCACACTGAGCTTCGAGTCTACTTAAGATTCTCTCTCTTCCTCTGCCACTCTCCCTCACTTTCATGCTCTCTCTAAAATAAATAAATATATGTATTTATATTAAAGATTGTATTTAAATTAAGAATACAGTAAAACCTTCATCTATAATCAAAACTTCTAGCATAGTAGTTATGAATACACTTTGAAGTCAGACTGAGTTCAAATTCTTGCTCTATCATTTGATTACTACTACTACTACTTGATCTTAAGCAAAATATACCCTTCTCAAGTCTGTGTTCTCATCTTTAAGAAACAGTTATTAGGGACATTATATAAGAATGCATATGGAACACTTAGCAGACATAAAAAGTGCTCAATACATGGTAGCTATTATTATTTTTTAATTAATTTATTTTGGGAGAGAGAGCACACGCACATCAGTGGGGTAGGGAGAAAGAGAGAGAGAGAGAGAGAGAGAGAGAGAGAGAGAGAGAGAGAGAGAGAATCATATATATGTTAAGTATAGAAAGCAGGATACTATTATATATAACTTGAAAACATTTTTTTTTATTTTTTGAATGTTTATTTATTTTTGAGAGGCAGAGCATGAGCAGGGAGGAATAGAGAGAGAGGGAGACACAGAACCCAAAACAGGCTCCAGGCTCTGAGCTGTCAGCGCAGAGCCCAATGCAGGGCTTAAGCTCACAAACTATGAGACCATGACCTGAGTCGAAGTCGGAGGCTTAAACAATTGAGCCACCCAGGCTCCCCTATCTTGAAAACATTTTAATGCCTATATAATATTCCACTGATTAAAAAGTATCATAATTTATTTAATCTTATTCCTTCAGTAATACTTAGGCTGTTTCCATTTGGGGGGTTAACTCTTTTTTGGTTATAACTATCAAAATATTTAATCTCTAAAGATAGATTACTTGAAAGGAAAGTACTGAGTCAAAGAATATGAACATTTCTGAAGGTCATATCATACTTAGCCAAAGACCTTTCTGAAAAGCTGCACCAATTTACAATCCCCAAAGCAGTATACAAAAAGTGCTCATTTAACCACAAACTTAACAGCAGTGGAATTTTCAAAATTTTTACCTATATGATAGAAAAAAAACATTTTATATCAATTTTTATTTCTTTAATTACTGGCAAGATCAAATTCTAAATCATTTATTAACTATTTTGCTCTAGTGTTTTTGTATTTGTTAATGTTTTCCTTATTGATTTTATGAGTTCTTAATACATTAGCAACATTAACATTTTGTCTGTGGTATTTATTGCAGGGTTACTTTTTTTTTGTCTCAAAATCTACAAGTCTGCTTTCTTTTGTAAATTTCCACTAGCTTTATACTATTAAGGAGGTAATCTTCATTGTTTTGGCAGTAGCCTAGGGAATTAATCCTTAAGATAATGATTTAGTACATCCGATACCAATAAGATACTGAAATAATTACCTCCTGAAGAAAAGCCTGTTACTTACTTAAGATTGTTTCTCATCCCTCATTAAATCCACTATTTCTTGAATTGTGTTTTTCATTTTTTACCTCCCCACTTTGTACGACTAATCTTAATTTCAAAGTTCTTGATTTACAAAATTTGGGCAATCTGACAATTTTATAGCATCAAAACAGACACAGACACACAGTCTCTAAACTGTTATAGTTCAGTAAATATAAACACAGATGTCATCAAGCTTTTATAAATAGGCAAAAATCTAATTCATCTAACAATCTTAGAATACCCTGTAATATTACATAGATTCATCACACGCCTCCTAGGCAGACAGTATCCTCATTTTTCAAAAAATCAACAAACCTAGCAGAATTAACCAAGTTAATATAGTTTATAAGGCAATATAAAAGCTATAAAATGGCAATCACAAGATTTGTCCTAGACCTAGTAAACCAGTACCTATACTGTATTCTGGGCAAATTATTTTTTCTTTTGTGTCTTCAAATTGCATGTGACTTTTTAAAACCTTCATTCACCCACTCAACAAACATTTAGCTAGCATCTTCTATGTGCCACGTACTGTGTTATGTGGTAGGAAAAGCTGTTAGGTAATTGTTTTTAATGAGAATTCCTTTTGAGCTTGCAAAAATTCTGCAGAAATGTGTTTCCTTCCATGAGTAATAATGGCTTTCCTTTTTAAA